GGGCCGCGCACATGCCGCCGGTCATGATTTGCACCCCCCCTCTTGGACACCCCCCTCTTGGCCGCTCCCGAAAGACGGTCTGTGGAGAGGAGGCATGTTGTCAGAGAGTCTCCAGGTGTCTAAAACATGTGTAGAGCATGTCCTAAGCATGCAAACGTATTTAGCACATGGCTTAATCCGTTGGAAGCAATCATAGCACATGTTGATTCCAATGGTAGAGCTGTTGGAGTGTCCATTACCATGGAATCCACACTGCTCTTCAGCTTGCCCCCCCCTCTCCCGAGAACGTGTGCAGCCAGCGCTGCTGCGAGTCAGCGAAGGGGCGCCTGCTTTCGGTGCCCCCTCGCGTGCCTCGATCGGCACGAGGGAGGCCCGACTGGGAAGGGGCACAGTGGCGCAACGCCACTCCTCGATCCGCTGGGTACCCTTAGATAGATAACCCGCGCTGCGACACCATGCCGCGTCGTGACGAGCGAAGACCAGAGCCCTGGCCTCCACTTGAACGAAGGTTTTTTTTGCAATCCTTGAACGAGGGTTTTTTTGCAATTCTGCAATCCTGTTTTTTTTGCAATCCTGTTTTTTTTGCAATCCTTCGGTTTTTGTTTGCAATCCTTCGGGTTGTTTGCAATCTCTCCGCGTCATCCTTCCAGTCAGAGCGATCTGCGGTGGCCGCGGGGCCCGTCGCCGGGCGAAGAGGCCGAAGGATTGCAAAAAAAAACCGAAGGATTGCAACAAACACCCGAAGAATTGCAAAACAAACCGAAGGATTGCAAAAAAAAACGAAGGATTGCAAAAGAAATCCTGGATTGCAAATAAAAAACGATGGCGAAGAGGCCGAAGGATTGCCGAAGGATTGCAAAACAAACGAAGGATTGCAAACAAAAACCGAAGGATTGCAAAGGATTGCAAAGGAATGCAAAGGATTGCAAACAAACCCAGGGTTTTTTTTTGCAATCCTTCGTTCAGGTGTGGACACACTGCAACGCTCGGGTCTCACGGTGCGTTTGCCCGCGGCACCCCCCGCGCCGGGGGCCTGGGACCCCCTCCAGTTTGGGGGGGTCGGGGAGGGCAGAGTTACAAGGGGGTGGGCCCGAGGCAGGAGGCGGGAGGATGGAGGAGAATGGAGGAGGAGGAGGAGGAGGAAGGAGGAGGAGGAGGCGGAGGAGGAGGAGGCGGGATGCTGGAGGAGAAGGCGGGAGGATGAAGGAGGAGGCGAAGCCCCAGCCAGCCGGGATAGGATGCCGCACCCGTCCTCGAGGCCTACGACGGGGCGCTGCAGCAGAGGGGCGCCGGGGTTCGCCGCCGCACCCCCCCCTGGCCACCCCGCCCGCCTGCGGCAGGGGCCCTCTCCAAGCAAGCACTGGCAAGGCGTACTGTCTTGCCGCCTAGAAGACCTCCAAAGAATGTTCCAATCACTTTTTGTGTGGTTTGCACGCGATGTGATTAGAACATGGTTGTTTGATGCAGTCTTGTTTTGACCAGCCGGCTGAAAGTTCTGAGAACATTCTGGCTTCACTATGAGAACACCCCCAGGCAATGCTTGCATTCAAAGTGTCCTCATGTGTGCTCGAACGAACTAGGCCTGTGTGGCGGTCTGTGTCGTCGCTGTCGCCGCTTGTCGTCGCCGCCCGTTGCTGTCCTAGGGTCCAGACGTCGCCGCGTGGTCTGAGCTGGCCCTCCTCCGAGTCTGGAGAGCAGGCGCCCCCAGACTCGGGGGGGGCCTGCGGGCGGCGCTCTCGGGCGGGGGCCCCTGGGCACCCCTCTCAGACCCTCCTCCGCCGGTTCGTCTCTTCCTCCCGGGGCCCCCACTCGTGGATGCGGCAGGTGGGATCCCAGACATCGGGCGTCTCGAGCAGATCGGGACGGAGTTTCTTCGCAGCTTTTGGCCTCTCGGGGCCCTCGCCGGGCCTCGGGACCGTCAAAAAAGCGACTCGGCATGAAAAACCGGTCCCGAGGAAGTGGTCGGGAGGTCGGGGGCCCGTGTCTCGAACAAATCGAGACGTCGGATGTCTGGGATGCTGACCGGGAGATCCCAGATCGGAGTGTGTGTGGTGAGGTCATGCGGCGCGTGGGGCGGGCCCCGTTCAACACGCGATCGCCGCTGCCACAGCCGCTGACACCGCTACAAATCGTCGTCGCCCTCTTCTTTGCCGGTGCCGCCGCCACCGTCGTCTCTCGCCTCAGGTCCCTTGTCGTCTCATTCGCCGCCGCCGCCGCCGTCGCCGCGTCGCCGCCGTCGCCGTCGTCGTCATCGTCATCGTCGTCGTCGTCGTCGTCGCCACCGTTGTCACACGTAGTCGTCGTCCCCTCGGTCGTCCTTGTTCTCGTCGTCGTCGCCGTCGTCCTCGTCGTCATCGTCGTCGTCGTCACCGCCGCCGCCTCCATCGCGTCGTCGTCGTAGTCGTCGTTGATGTCGCTGTCGTCGCCGCCGGCAGACCGCTGACATCTTCATTGCCGTTGGCGCCGCTACCGTCGTCACCCTCGTCGTCGTCGCCGGCCGTCGTCGTCGTTGATGTCGCCGTTGTCGCCACCGACGCCATGACCGCTGACATCTTCTTTGGAGCTGCCGCCGCCACCGTCGTCACCCCCGTCGTCGTCGTCACCGTCGCCGTCGCCTTTTCGCCGTCGTTGCCGCCGTCGTTGAGATCGCCGCCGTCGCCACTAACGCTGTGACTGCTGACTTCTTCTTTGCCATTGCCGCCGCCACCGTCGACACTCGTCGCCGCCGCCGCCGCCGGTGTAGTCTCCGTCGTCCTCGTTGTCGCCGTCGCCGTCGCCGTCACTCGTCGCCGTCGTCAACGCTGTCGTCACTGTCGTCGTCGTTGATGTCGCCGTGGTCGTCGTCGTCCTCGCCCTCGTCCTCTTCCTCGTCCACGTCGGAGTCGTCACTGATTTCGCCGTTGCCGTTGCTATCGTCGCCGTCGTCGATGATTTCGCCGTCGTTGCCACCGACACCGTGACCGCTGACATCTTCTTTGCCGTTAACGCCGCCACCGTCGTCACCCTCGCCGTTGTCGTCGTCACCTTCGCCCTCGCCGTCGCCGTTGTCGTCGTCGTCGTTGAGATGTTCGTGGTCGCCACTGACACCCTGACCGCTGACATCTTATTTGCCGTTGCCGTTGCCACCGTCGTCACCTTCGCCATCGCATTCACAGTCGCCGTCGTCGTTCTCGTCGTCGTCGTCGTTGTGGTCGTCGTTGAGGTTGCCATCGTTTCCACCGAGGCCGTGACTCGTCGCCATCGCCGTCGCCGTCACTCGTCGCCGTCGTCGACGCTGTCGTCGCCGTCGTCGCCGTCGTCGTCGTCGTCCTTGCCCTCGTCCTCTTCCTCGTCCGCATCGGAGTCGTCACTGATTTCGCCGTTGCCGTTGCTATCGTCGTCGTAGTTGTCGCTGATGTTGCAGTTGTTGCCACCGACGCTGTGACCGCTGACATCTTCTTTGCCGTTGCCGCCGCCACCGTCGTCACCCTCGTCGTCGCCGTCGCTGTCGCCGTCGTCGTCGTCGTCGTCATCGTCGTGGTCGTTGTTGAGATCGCCGTCGTCGCCAACGTCACCGTCGTCACTCTGGTCGTCGTCGCCGTCGCGTCACCGTTGCCGTGGCCGTCGCCGCCGCCGCCGCCGCCGCCGCCACCGTCGTCGTCGACGTCGTCGTTCTCGTCGTCGTCGTTGTCGTTGTCGTAGTCGTCGCCGCCGTCGTGTCTGGCGTCTTTGTCGTCTTTGTCGTCGTCTCAGTCGTCGTCGTCGTCATTGTCGTCGTCGGTCATGCCGCCGTCGTCGTCGCTGAAGTCTCCGTCGTCGCTGCATGCTCATTCTCAGTCTGCTCTCGTCCGTGCTCGAGCGGCCACGGGACTGCCCCTCCCACGCGTAGCGGCGCCCACCGCTCGGGAGCTCTGCCGGGGCTCCTGGCGGGGCGCCCAGGCGCGCGATGGCCGGCTTCGGCGGTGGCCACGGCGGCCAGGCCTTCGGCGGTGGGGCTGCAGAGGCGCGCCTCGGCCCCGCGGAGGCGGCGCAGGCGCAGAAGGAGGACGCGGTGCGGGAGATGCTGGACGCCGGGGGGGACGTGGAGGCCCCAGACGTGGACGGCAACACCGCGCTGCACTGGGCGGCGTGGTTCCGCTGCGACAGCCTCCTGATGCTCCTCCTGGAGCGCGGGGCCCGGGTGGACGCGAGGAACTCACAGGGGGAGACGCCGGTGCACTGGGCAGCCAAGTCCTCGAATATCAACGGCATCCAGGCGATGACAAAGGGAGGTCACGGCATGCTGTCGCTGAGGGACTGTGACGGGTTCACGCCCTTCGTGATCTTGGCGCAGAACGACAATGCGCCCGTCATGGAGTGGATGTACCTCAGAGGTGTCAGCATCGAGGAGCAGGATAACTGGGGCCGCACTGGGCTACACTGGGCATGCTACAAAGGCCACCGCAAGACAGTGCAGTGGCTGCTTTCGCGGTCTGCCAACATCGCCCACCGAGACCACGAAGGAATGACTGCCATCCACTGGGCAGCGCTGCAGGGCCATGAGCAAGTAGCAGAGATGCTCATCGCCATCGGTGCAGTACATCTGCTCCACATGCCTGACTTGGCAGGCGATACCCCGATCGACCTGGCGCAAAGGAAGAAGAATCGTTATCTCGTCATCAGCTTCCATAAATGTCAACTATTCCAGTACTTGATCGGCCGGCCGTTCCTCTACCAGAATAACTTCGCCAGCCTCTTCGTTGCATTCGTGCTGTTCAACATCGCGATTTTCGTTTTCATCATCGCGCCTGGCATCTGGGGCAGCAACCTCAACGCGGTGCTCGCGTGGAACTTGCTGATGGGCGGGTCCCTGTTCCTCTGGTACCTTGCCTGCCGTGGGGATCCTGGCCGCAGGGTCCCCCTCCCCAAAGGTACCCAATTCACACCCTGGTGTGGGAAGGGCCGAGCGATAGAAAGCGGGGTAAGCGGGGGAGGGATGTGGAGATCTTGGGGGTGGTGGGGAATTGAGGTCACTGCCAGGCTAGGCCCCGACGTCTCCTTACCTGCCCTGACTGTTCCTCTTAGTCCTCCGCATCCCACTAGGGGGTCCCTGTTTTCTCTGGACACCCCGCGCAGTCCGTCTCTTCCCACCCCCTCCTCTTCTCAGCCCTGGGCTAAACCGTCACCGTCATCGTCATCATAGTCATTGCCTTCATCATTTTGATCGGCATCATCATCATCAGCAGCATCATCATCAGCATCATCATCAGCATCAGTATCAGCATCATCAGCATCAGCATCAGCATCGTCATCGTCGTCGTCGTCGTCGTCGTCATCATCATCATCATCATCATCATCATCATCATCATCACCATCATTATCACTCACAACATCATCACCACACGCCTGAGTGCTAACTGTCGTCATTTCTGGGGTCCCAAACCGTGAGTTTGGAGAAGATCTCGAGCGGGAGCCTCTTTCTGTGAGCGAATTGCGAGGAAGTCTCAGGCGGGAGCCCCCTCCCTATGGGGCCCGCACCTTCTGTTAGTAGTCCGGGCGGGTCATCAGAAAACTTGTATTTGTCGTAATGTTTGGGCTCCTGAGGCCTGAACATTGGTAAAATATCAGGCGGGAGCTTCGTCTGTGATTGCAACGCGAAGAAGTCTCAGGCGGGAGCCGCCTTCCCACGGGGCTCGCACTCCATGTCGGTCATCCAGGCTGTCATCGGAAAACCTTTGATCGTCGTCACCTTGGAGCTCCGGAAATTTGAATTTGGGTGAATGCAGTATTAGGCGGGAGCCTCGTCTGTGAGTGAATCGCGAAGAAGTCTCAAGCGGAAGCCTCCTCCCTATGGGCCCCGCACCTCATGATAGTAATTCGGGTGAGTTGTTGGCCAATGGGGCCCGTATTTCATGTTTGTAATCCAGTGGGTCGTTGGACCACCTCTCATTTTCTCAGGGCACACCGCGCAGTCCTCCCACCCACACCCTCCTTCATCATCACCTCTCACACTCAGTTCGGCCTTTCATCATCACCTTTCACACGCACCACTATCACCATCATCTTTATTTTCATTGTCATCATTGCCATCATCATCAGTACCATCATCATACCACCATCGTCATCAGCATCATCAGCACATCACCGTCCCACCATGATCAGCGGCCATCATCATCATTACCACCATCATCATCATCATCATCATCATCATCATCATCATCATCATCACTATGATCCCCTATCACACTCGTCGCAACCATCATCACTCACACGCTTGCCTCGCCTGTGAATAATTTGTGAGGAAGTCTCAGGCGGGCGCCCCCTCGCAGATTATGTTGGTAGTCCGAGCGGGTCATCGGAAACTTCAGCCAGGAACAACACTTGAGCACCCCAAAAAGCTCCCCAAGGGGTGCAAATCTCGAAAACGTCTCAAGCGGGGGCCTCCTCTGTGAGTGAATTGCGAGGAAGTCTTTGGCGGGGGCCCCTTCCCTATAGGGTTCGCACCTTATGTTGGCAATCTTGTCGGGCCATCGGACAATTTTACCAGGCATAGCACTTGAGCACCCCAAGGACGCGAATCGTGAGGATATGTTGAGCGGGGGTCTCGTTTGCAAGTGAAGTGCGAGGGGGGCTCAGGCGGGACCCCCACCCCTATGCGGCCCTCACGTCATGTTGGTAATCCGGGTGGGTCATCGGCAACTTCGACCAGGCATAGCATTTGAGCACCACAGGGGCGCAAATCGTGAGGACGTCTCAAGCGGGGGCATCGTGTGTGAGCGAATTGCGAGGAAGTCTCAGAGGCGGGAGCTCCCTTTTCATGGGGCCGGCACTTCCTGTTGGCAACCTGGGCGGGTTGTCGGAACACTGCACCTGGCATAGCATTTTAGCGTTCCAAGGGGGGCAAACCTCGCAGGCGATTTCTCTCCCCCAATCCCCGACTTCCGCCAGAAAAGTTTGGTCGCTCAGAAAAGGGGAGGAATCTTGGGATACATCCCGAGGGGGCTATTCGGACGCACCCCTGTCGAGGATGGACGCCCCCCCCTCGTATATCCCAGGGTTGGGCCCCAAATTGTTGATCCTCTCGAAAACCTCACGGAGCCTGGGATAGGGGTCGACGCATCCCCTGTTAAAACCGTGAGGATCTCTCAAGCGGGGGCCTCGTCTGCGAGTGAATTTCGAAGACGTCTCGGGCGGGCGCCCTCCTTCCTATAGGGGGCCCGCGCGTCGTGGTGGTGATTCTGTGCGGGTCATCGGACAAGCTGTAATCAGCGTCGTTTTTCGGGCTCTTCGGGCCCGAATCTTCGCGGGCGATGTTTCTCCCCCAATCCCCGAGTTTCGCCCGAAATATCTGTCCGCTCAGAAGAATGGGAAAACCCTGGGATACACCCCAAGGGGGCTATTCGGACGCACCCCTATCGAGAATGGACACCCCCCCATCGTATATCCCAGGGTTAGGCCCCAAATTTCTGGTCCATTCGGAAACCCCACGAAGCCTGGGATAGGGGTCGACATATCCCCTGTTAAATCTGGCGGAGGTCTCGGCGGAAGCCTCGTCTGTGAGCGAATCGCGAGGGAGTGTTGAACGGGAGCCCCCTCCGCATGGGGCGTGCGACGCGTGCTGCCAAGCCTAGCGGGTCCGCGTGATCTTGTAGCTGTCGGTGCTTTTTGGCTCCTCAGGGGTGCGGGTTGGTACCAAGGCACCCATGATCTTGCTGAAGTCTCAGGCGGGAGCCCCCTCCCCATGGGGCCCGCAGATTATGTTGGCAATCCGATCGGACCATCTGAATTTGTTTCCAGGCGTAGCACTTGAGAGCGCCCCAAGGGCGAAAATCGCGAAAATGTCTCGAGCGGGGGCCTCGTCTGTGAGTGAATTGCGGGGAAATCTCATGCGGGACCCCCCTCCCTATGGGGCCTGCATTTCATATTGGTGCTCCGAGCGGGTCACTGGTACCATACCATGCATAGCACTTGTGCACCTCAATGGCGCAGGTCGTGAAGATGTCTCGAGCCGGGCCTCGTCTGTGAGTGAATTGTGGGATAGTCTCATGCGGGATCCCCCTCCCTATGGGGCTCGCAGAGCCTGTTGCTAATCCGAGCGGTCATTGGCGTACTGCAGCAGGCATATATATATATATATATATATGTCGTGCAACCGAAGGGCGCAAATGGTGAGGATGTCTCAAGCGGGGACCTCGTTTGTCAGTGGATTGCGAGAAGGTCTCTGGCGGGAGACCCCTCCTCATGGGGCCCGCAGATCATGATAGTAATCCGAGCAGGTCAGCGAGCTACGGCAGCAAGCATAAGATTGAGCACCCCAAGGGCGCAACTCGTGTGGATGTCTAGAGCGGGGGCCTTGTCTGTGAATGGATCGCAAGGAAGTCTCAGGCGGCAGCCCTTCCCTACTGGGCCCGCAGATCACGTTAGCAATCTGAGCGGAACATTAGCAGATTGTAAGAGGCATAGCCTTTGAGCGCCCCAAGGGCGCAATTCTGAGGATGTCTCGAGCGGGGGCCTCGTCTGTGAGTGAATCTCGAGGACGTCTCAGGCGGGAGCCCCGTCTCTAGGGGTCCGCAGATCATGTAAGTAATCCGAGCGGGTCGCTGACATACTCAAGCAGATGTATCACTTGTGCACCCCAAGGGCGCAAATCGTGAGGATGTCTCGAGCGGGGGCCGCGTCTACGCGTGAATTGCGAGGAAGTCTCCCTATGGGGCCCGCAGATCATGTTGGTAATCCGAGCGGTCACTGGCGTATTGTAGCAGGCATGCCGCAAATCGTGAGGATGTCTCGAGCGGGGGCCTCGTCTGTGAGTGCGTCGCGAGGAAGTCTCGAGCGGGAGGGGCCCGCATGTCCAACAAGCTCCACAGGTCGCACTGTTCCCACAGCCCCTACAGGTCTCAAAGGTCTCATATGGCGCATCCTGGTATCCTCGCATCTTGGCAGCCTTGCCATCGTTAGTGGTCGGTAAGGGTGAGTCTGATTCACATACAGGAGATTCGTAGCCGGCCGCTCTGCGGTTGATCGTGAGTTCTTGTATATCGAAGACGGGGCGTGCGTTTCTGGGCCAGAGGAGAATGATCGAGAGGAGAATGAGCGTGAGGATCCGGAGGGCGAGGCTTGCGAGGGGGAGGATCAGAAGAGTGAGGGTCACGCGGGTGAGGATCAGGCGGGCGTGGAGCTGGATGGCGAGGGGCCCGACCTCGCGCGCCTTGCGAGGATGTCTCGAGCGAGGGCCCTGCTGAGACACGCCCGGTGCGCCCCCGCGCCCGCCCCAGAAAGCGCGGTGGGGCCTGACCTCCTCGCGGCAAGGATGTCTCGAGCGAGAGCCCTGCTGGGACACGCCCAGCGCGCCCTGGCACGCGCCCCCGAAGTGGTTCCTGGGGGCGCGATGGGGCCTAACCTCCCTGCGCGCCGGGGGTGAGGATGACGTGAGTTCCACAGAAACTCCTTCCAATCATGTGGGGGGTCCTTCGGTCGGGAGAATGACTTAACCGTTATGCTTCCTATCTCTCCCTCCCTCTCTCTCTTGTTCCCTCTTTCGCTGTCTTTTTTTGTGTGTTTCTTTCTCTCTCTCTCTCTCACTATCTCCACCTCCCGCATCATCCCCTCAACCTCGCCCTCATCTGTGCCTCCCTTCCCCAACACTCTCTCTCCTTCTCTAACTCCCTCCCTCCCTCCCCCCCTTGCCCTCGCACTCCTCTTCGCCCCCCCTCCCCTCCTGTTCCCTTCGCCCGTCCTCCTTCGCCTCGCCCTGGCCAGGCCCTCTCTGCGCCCTCGCCTTCCCCTTCCCAATTCCCCGTCCCCCTCCTCTGCCCCCCCTTCTACAATTCCACACTCTGAATATACTGCTCCCCTCTCTCCCCCGATGACGTCCAGAAGATGTTCCGCCCCCCTCCGCGTGCAGCCTTGTCCACACAGGATTCCCCGCAGTTGGGTTTTCGCATGGGTCTGGGTTTCAAAATGTTGCTGCCGCTGAAGCGCTGGCCTCATTTCCGCGCTTCCGCTCGTTCCGAACCGTGCTCCCGCTGCTGCGCTGGCCTCATTTCCGCGCTTCCGCTCGTTCCGAATCGTGCTCCCGCTGCAGCGCTGGCCTCATTTCCGCGCTTCCGCTCGTTCCGAATCGTGATTCTGCTGCAGCGCTGGCGTCTGTATTTCCAGTGCAATGCCACGGAATGCAATGCAGGGCTGTATGGTGTTCCGCTGTGCGATGCCATGCCTTCGGCTGCAATGCTACGTGCAGTGCTTGACTACGCAGTGCCACACCATGCTATGCCATGTCCGTCGTTGACCTTCAACGCGATTCTATGCCATGCTCTGTTCTGTTCCGCTGGGCGATGCCATTCTTTGCGTCGCAATGCTTTGTGATGCAATTCTTCATTACGCAACGCCACGCCATGCTATGACATACTACGCTCTGCCGTGCTTTCTACGCCCTGCTATGCCGTTCTCTACGATGCATCGTGCACCCTCTCGGGATCGTTGCCTTGCTCTACATCGGACTGTGCGAGTAGAGAGGAGATCTACGCCGTAGTAAGGGGTGGGAGGGAAGGGTAGGACGTCAGATATGACGCGAGCGCACCTAGCTTGCCTTCCATCCCCTCCTCTCTTCCCTGCCTCACCCTCCCCTCCCCTCGCCCGCCGCCCCACCCCCTTCCAGGGGGGATCTGCGCAAGAGGGGGGAGGAGGAGAAGGAGGAGGAGGAGGAGGAGGAGGAGGAGGAGAAGGAGGAGGAGGAGGAGGAGCAGCAGGAGCAGGAGGAGGAGGAGCAGGAGCAGGAGCAGGAGGAGTAGGAGGAGGAGGCAGAGGCAACGTGGCTCACCTACCAGCTTCCCGCACCGCTGCGCCAAGCGGCGTAGACCTCCACCCGTGCGCGTCCAGCGCAGCAGTCGCCGGCCTGCCCGATGCCCTCGCAGAGCCGAGTGCGGCAAGAGTGACCCTTCGTCAAAGTGACCGCTGGTGCGGCCAAGAGGGGTCCCCGCAGCACTTGGCCTGCATGCTTGGGGACTTGGCTTCCCCGCGGCCTCCGAAAGCCGCGCACCAATGGTCTGAAGTCGGGCATCGGAATATTCAGAAACAGGGGAAAAATAGTCTGGGAACGATTTTCGACTATTTTTGAATATGTTGGGGAATTTCGAAACTATTTTCCCTTTTGTCTTACAACATCCGCCTGCTGGAGGACATGCCCGACCAATCAATGGTCGCCCATGCCCAGTGACACTCCCGCGTTTGGCCGACAGCTGTGGTCACCCACTCGCTCCCCAGGCTGGCTTGCGCCCAAGACGGTCCTCCCGCAGACGAGCTGCGGTCTGTATGCGTTCGATGCGGACCAGCCCGTCGAGTCGCAGATGGCCCAGGCGTTCCCGCCCCCGCCCTCTCCCCAGACATGCTCGCGTTGTGAACACCATCGCGACGGACGGTGTTTTTTTTGGGGGGGGGCGTTTTCGGCTTCCGGGGGCCCTCCCGCTTGGACCCGGGACCGTCGAAGAACGACTCGGGAGGAAAAGTTGGCCCTGGGGAATGGCTCGGAATTTATGTGGTCCTGTAGTGATAAATAGCAGCGCGTCCAATGTTTGGGTCTTCCGTTCTTTGCCCCTCTCCAGTCCCGCTAAGACGAGGATAATGAAGAGGGATGAGGAGGAATGAGGATGAGGATAATGATGTTTATGATGATGCTGCTGATGCTGATGATGATGGTGATGGTGATGCTGATGCTGGTGGTGATACTGATGTTTATGATGAGTATGATTATGATGATGATGCTGATGATGATGGTGATGCTGATGATGGTGATGATGCTGATTGTTATTATGATGGCGATGCTGATGATGATGCTTGTAATGCTGATGTTGGTGCTGCTAATGCTGATGCTGATTACCGTTGTGATGCTGATGATGATGCTGATTCTGCTGATGATGCTGATGATGATGGTGATGATGCTGATGCTGATGATGCTGATGCTGATGCTGATGATGCTGATTATGGCGATCGTGAGGCCGGTGATGCTGCTGCCGATGCTGATGATAATGATGATGGTTTTGATTGAACTTACGATGATGCCGAAGGTGATGACGAGGAGGAGGAGGAGGAGAAGGAGGAGGACAAAGATGACGGGGGGGCATCCCCTTCCCAAATTCCTCATCACGTTGACAGAAGACCGTCTGTCCCCTCTCCCCCGATCGCTTACGGCTTCTTATGCCCCGCCCTGCCCCGCGCACGTTTAACCTACAGTCCTGAAGAAACGCGGACGGCAGGTTTCTCGCCGATTTCGGCCTCCGGGGGCCCTCGCCGGGCCCCAGGATTGGTCAGAGAGCGACTCGGTATCAGACACTGGCCCCGGGTAAATCGACTCGTGAGGGTGACCCTTCGCCAGGGTGACCGTCCGTGCAGGCCCACTGGGGTCCCCCGATCACTGAATGCGCGATGCGACAGCAGCGGCCTGCGCGCTTGGGTTTGGCTCCCTCGCGCCCCCCCAAGAGCCGCGCACAGAAGGGCACTCTCGCCTAGGGTCACGCTCACCCCGGGGAAGAAAATACACTTGGACCCGATATATGGCGTTTGCGAAAAGGCCTTCGGCGTTTACTGAACAGCCCTGCCCTGTTCGATTCCTTCTTTGGGTGCGTCTACTAACGGCCTCGCTTGTCGGCGTGGTAATTATTGGGTTGTATGTTTTCCCCTTGACCTGCGTGCAGCAGAGTCAAGCGTCGGGACTTTCGGGGACCGCGCGTTGACGACAAGCAAGACGTCGGATACTGGACCCTCGGCTCCTCCCCCCTCGCCCCGCGCACTCCGCATCCTCTGCCGCCTCCTGCCTCCCCCTCCTCGTCGTGAGCTTCGACGTGGGTCTCGGCTCTGAGCAGGTGTGGAGGAGGAGCAGGGAGTCTAGGCCTCCCAGATAGGGTCGAGTAGATGAGGTCGGAAGATCGCGCCGCATCGCCGATGCATCGCCGATGCGGCTCCGTGTGGAGCCTGATTTGCTTCACGCGGACCTCGCCGATGCATCGCCGAGGTCACCGATGCATCTCCAGCGCATCGCCGATGCATCGCCGATGTATCGCCGATGCGGCGCGATCCTCCGACCCCACCCACTCCGACCCCATCTCGGAGGCCTCTAGGACGAGCAGGGAGAAAGGTTCGATCAGTCCAGTGTCTCGGAGAGGTTAATGCTCTCCTTCTTTTTTTCCCCGACCCTGCAGAGGGGTTCCCGTTGTGTGTGTTCCCCTGGGGGGGTCTGGGGGGGTACCCCCCGCGACATGGCCCCGGCCACGCGGCGAACTCCAGCGGAAGCAGGTGGAAGACGGCCCCATTTCGGTAGACGCGCTTCTGTTCGGCACGGGCGGCCCCAAGATGGTCCGCAAGATGGTTCAAGAGAGCTACGAGTCGCCGACTGACCGGGCCAGACCATCCCAGATGGCTCCTACATGGCGCAGACAGCCCCCAAGACGCCGCGGCAGGCTTCCCAGAGGGTTTCCAAGAGGGCTCCGAGAGGTAACATTCATTGATGTCCAATGTTTTTTGTGTGTTTTTTTGTGCGTTTTCGCCTTATCGGCCTCTTCACGCTCCAAGACGGCCCAAAGGCCCCAAAGATCGGCCCAAAACGGCTTGAGAGGCCCCCAAGAGAGCGCCCAGACGGCCCAAGACGCCCCCAAGACGGCCCAAGAAGTTTCCAAGGCGACCTAAGAAGACCCCAGGAACGCTCCAAGAGGGGCCGCAGAGGGGGGGCAGGGACGGACATTCTGGGCTCTCCGCTTAAAGAACCTTTCAGGAGGCCCCAAGAGGCCTCCAAGAGGCCCCAAGAAGCCTCTAAGAGGTCTTCAGGAAGCCCCGAGGGGCCCCCAAGAGGGCCCCAGGACTGCCTAAGAGGTTTCCGAGGTGGCCGGAGACGCCCCAGGGCCCGAAGACTGCCCAACATGGCTCCAAGATGGTCGGCGACGCCCTGACAAAGTGGCACAGCGTCAAACGGACAACACAGGAACCTGCATAAAGCGCCTTAAAGCGGCACAGCGTCAAACGGACAACATTGGAATCAGCAGTATACGCCGAATAGGCATCGTCTTATTTGTTTTTCTCTTCCTCGCAGGTCACGCTCACTTGTCCTCCAAAGTCAGGGTTCGTAACAATAGTAGGTTCCGCGTTGCTTCTTTCTCCCTATGGGCTCAGGTCCCGGGGAAGTGAGCCCTCTGTGAGGGCGTCCTGGGCCGCGTAGTGCTACTCAGTGCTGCAACCCCTGGGCTGATGGCTCCCATACGGGCCCTTCCGCGGATAGCCGCTCCGAGGTGGTTCACCAGGAGGAGCACCAACACGGCCCTCCTCCCCCTCCTGCCCGTCGCCCATCCCCCATCCTCCCCGCCCGCTCCTCCACAGTTGCACAGTCGGAAAACGAGGCTCCTCTCTCCCCTGACCCTGTTCGAAACGAATTCGGCCCTCGCCGCTTTGTTTTTGGGGTCCCAGACAGAGCCTTCCAACACATTGTTTGTTTCATCGTGTTGTTGCACTCCGACTGTTTTGGGTGTCTCAGCACGGTGCCCTCGCTGCAACGTGGGCCTCATTTTTGGATCGGCGTCCCCGTCGTTCAGAATGGCGCTCTCGCCTCGGCGCGGGCCATTTTTCTGATTCGGGGTGTTTTCATCGTTCCCTCGTTTCTTCTTCTCCGCCTTCCATGGTCCTCCTTTCCCTCTCGCTCCTTCCACTTCAGTTCCTGCTGCTTCTGCTCGTCCTCGTCCCCATCCGTCTTCCTCCTTCGCCTTTTCCTCCAGCTTATTCGCCACCTCCGTCTCCTCCTCCTCTTGCTCCTCCTCCTCCTCCTCGTCCTCCTCCTCCTCGTCCTCCTCCTCGTCCTCAACACTATGAGGTCCACTTTTGGTCATGGCACGCGTCGGCGGACAGAGAAAGCAGCGCAGTGGGCAGGGATGGGTGGGAGGGGTAATACGCAATATGTAACGAAGAAGGGCGAGCGCCCCGGGCGTGTCCCCTCCCTCTCGTCCCGCCCCCAGCACCTCCTCCTCCGCTCGACCTCCTCCCTCCCCGGGTTCGTTTTGTTTCGCTCGCGCCCTGGAGGGGCACGTGCCCCCCCACGCACCCCCTTCTGCGCGCGAGCCGCACCGGGATGCCAGCGACGCCACGCGCCCCGGAGGCTCCTTCTCCTCTTTCTCAATATTATTATTATTATCCTTGTTCTCCTTCTTCTGCTTCTTCTTATCCTTATTATTATTCTTATTATTATTATTATTATCATTATTCTTCTTATTCTTTTAAGTATCATTATTATTGTTGTCATGTTTCTTCGTCTGATTATTATTATTCTGCTCCTGCTTCTTCTTCTTCTTCTTCTTCTCCTTCTTGCGGCCGGCCTCAAGGCCTCGGCGAGGCCTCGGCGAGGCGGCCCTGCCCCGTGCCTGCGCCGCGGGGAGGCTGCTCGGGCGGCCCTGGTGTCCAGGGGGCACGCTCGCGCGGCCCGACGCTGGCCAACGGGAGTCCGCTGGTCTTAAGTCGGGCACGACCCTCTGCATGAGGAGTAGCCAAGATAGCTCAAGAAAGGTCCGGGGAGGATGTGTGGACTCTGCTCGGCCATTTTTGGGGGCATTTCTGGCTATTTCCTGTTTTTCGTCCGAGACCCGCCTGCAGGAGGACGTGCCCGACCGAAAGCTGGTCCCCTCTGGCTGACACGGGGTCGGGAGCCACGCGGGGCCGATTCCCGCTTTCCTCCGCCCCGCTGGGCACGGGCTGGGGAGGTGCTGCGCGGTCCGCCGGGCTTCGCGGCGAGGCCCTGGCGGTGGCCCGCGGGCTCCTCCCGCCGGCGTAGAGCAGGAGCGGCTTCTCGAGCCACGGAGGGGGCCTGGGCGGCACGCGTGCAGTTGGGTGCGTGTCGGGTCGGTGCGGCGGCGGCAACCTGCGCGGGCGTTCCAGATCGAGCGTGGCGCTGTTGGCCCCGAGGGTCCGCCAACGTGCAGGGGTCTGGCCATCGGAGGTGCCCGCGCGCAGGTCGCTTGCCCCCCGCCCTCCTACTGCAGCGGCTCAGCAGCACGGTGTGAGAGCTCCGAGCTCCCCTGGCGTCGCCCTGGCACGTTTTCCCGCTGCCCCTCGCGTGCGGAACTCTGGCACCGCATTGCGAACATGTGTTTTACGTCGGGTTTGTCCCCTTACAGGAGGAATAGTCAAAAACAGTGAACACATAGTCTGGGGACGGATCTTCGACTATTTTAGAATCCTGTCTTGAGTATGCTCTGGCTATGTTTCTTGTTCGCGTGGTCGTTCCCGCGTGTTTTGCTCGCCCGGGCGCGACGCTGCAGCCTCTGGGGTGCACCTGGCCTGCAGTTCCCCTGGGCGCTTGGCTCCACCTGAGAAGCATCCTTGGCGCATGCGCAAATTATTGGCATGGTCCCTCCGTCGCTTCCTCTCCCTCCTCCTCTTCCTCCTCCTCCTCCTCCTCCTCTTCCTCCTCCTCCTCCCTTGCCCCCCCTCTCTCTCTCTCTCTCTCTCCTTCCCCTGCTCGTCGGCCGAGTCGGCCGAGACTTTCTGGTCGGGCTTGCCAAGGGGGATACCGCGCCGCGGCCCCTGAGGTGCTCGTCACGACCCCCGGGTTCCAAAAAGGCAGCCGGGCTTCTGATCCGATCGGGCCCCACCTCAGCTCTCTCCTTTCGCGGCCCTTACCTCCTGTATGTGGCAGTCCATCTCCGCCTCCCTTTCCTCTTCTCTCTCTCTCCTCCTCCTGCTCGCTCACAGGCGTTTCAGTCGACATCCAGCCCCGGGGTGAGGCGAAGTCCCGAGAAGCAGCCTCTTTTCTATCGATTATGTGTGTGTGTGTTCGTGTTGTCTGATGGAGTCCTCCTCCACTCCATCGTCGTCGCCCTCGCCCTCGACGAGCAGAGGTCGACGGCAGGGATCTCCGTCGAGTCCCCCCTCCTGCTCCGTTCGTCCTCTCTCTCCTCCTCCTGCTCGTCGCCCTCGCCCTCGACGTAGAGGTCGACGACAGGGAGCGGGACGAGGTGGACGACGTTCTGCGCCTCGAGCTCGAGCAGAGCAAGTACAACTACCAGCGGCAGCTGCTTACTGCGGCCAGGCGTCGCAGTTGTCATCGTCGTCCACCTCGTCGTCCTCGTCCTCCTCGTCGCCCTCGCCCTTCGCGTCCTCCTCCTCGTCCTCCTTCTCGTCAGCTTCCTCTTCTTGTTCTCTTCCTCTTCCTCATCCTCTTCCTCCTCTCCCTACTCCTTTTCCTCCTCCTTTTCCTTGTCCACATTCCGCTCCTCCTCCACCTTTCTCCCTGCCTCCATCCCTCCCCCTCCTCGTCATCCCTCCCCCCTCTTCCCCCCCTTTCTGGGAACACCTGTGGACCACGCTCAGTTGAAAGGGCAAGCGATGCGCTTTCCAGAGTGTCCAGAGGACTGCCCCCCAAGTCAGGAATGATATTCCTTGTGCATGTTTGTTTTTTTAATCGAAGCCGGCACCAAGACTCACTCCTCACTTGATCCATGTCTCCATCCTCCCTCAGCCTCTTCCCTCCGTCTCCTTCGTCTGTACCCCTTTCCCCTTTCTCCATCCGCTTTGCTTCCCAGCTTACCCATGGAATACATTTCACACCAGGTGATGCTTGCGCTCTGGGACACGCTCGGTCTCTCCTCCCTTTCTCCCTCCCGCCGACCCTCCCTCTTCCTGTCCGTACCCCTTTGTGCAATATTCTCCCAGTCTTCCACTTAGCCCGCCGATGGCGAACCCATCTGGGCCTTCCCATCACACTTCCGCGGCTACTAAAGTTCACGTCTTACTTCTTAGGTTAGCCGTTTTGTTGTCGACGATTTGGAACCCGTGGCAGGAGTGGGCTGCGGCGCGCACCGAGCTCGCAGGGGCGAAACGCAGGCCGATTTCGCTCGGGTTCCGCGTTAATGTGTCCTGAGATTTGAGCTCCCGCTCGGGCGCGGTACAGTCACCCCGCACAGCAAGGATGGGCAACCTTCCTACGGGTACCCTTGGATCCTTGCCACCTCGGTCTATGCTTGGCCATTTTCGTTGACCGCGTCCCGCTCGAAAAACTCCGAGGTAGCCTTCCGAGGCCCTTGCATCCTCATCGCGCCTCCTTCTGATACGGGTTGACTGTGCGCATGTCTCGCCCGCTGACTCGCGGCGAGACGCGAGCGGACGAAACATTGCCGCTCTCGTCTCGGTGCCGCGCAGCTTCCGACGGATTGTGACGCTGCGTCCTTGAGGCGTGGCGCCTTGTTCTGCCACTCGCCGGGGTCGTTGCAGTCGGCCCTGATTAGCAGGTCGACCCTGCCAGCTCGAGGGTGCCCTTGTGTCCTGTGCCTCGCGCGACACGTGCCTCCTTACCCTCCCATGGCGACGTGGCCTTCGGAAGGGTCTTGTGCCCTCTCGCGTGTCCTCTCCACTCAAGTCCGACTGCAGGGGGCGGCGCCGCGCGCGAGCGGGCGTCCCGGGTCGCCCGCGCGCCCCGCCTCCCCGCGCAGCGTCTTCGTCGGGCGCTGGGCGCTCCCGCCCCCCCTCGCGTGGCAGCGGCCCCGGCGGCGGGGCCGCGCGGGAGCGGCCTCGGGCCTCGAGGCAGGCGGGGGGCCCGCGCCGGCGGGGCTCCGCCAGAGCGCGGGGCCCCGCAGGATCCTGGCAGAGCAATGGCTGCACTGACCCGGGCCCGGGTGTCACCGCCCACCAGACCACCCCAACCCAACCCGAAGGCTCAGATTTACCCTCGACTTCTTTCTAGTGGGGGGGGGGGGGGTCCGGGAACCTCGAAAAAACACATCTTGGGCCCATACCCCCCCCCAACCCGAAATTCGGGTCTTCGGGTTGGGTTGGGGTGGTCTGGCAGGTAGTCAGGGTGCAGGCTCCTGCCGGATCCTGCGGGATCCTGCGGAGCCGGGGACGGTCCCGGGGGTTTGGTCCGACCCGGGGCAGGAGCTCCCCGAGAGCGGGCGAGGCGCCGTCCTCGCCCATGCTGCTCGTGTGAGAAAGCGGCAGTGCTGCCTCTGTGCGGCGCGTGCTTCGTCTCCGCCGCGCTCCTCCCCTCCCCTCCTCCTCCCCTCACCTCCCCTCCCCTCCCTCTCCCCCTCTTCCTCCCCCTCCTCCTCATCCTCCTCCTCCCCTCCCCTCCCCTCTCCTCCCCTCGCCTCCCCTCCTCCCCACCTCCTCCACATTCCCGCGCACGGATTTTCCGAAGCTCCGCTCCCGCCCGGGCGCGGCCCGCGCTGTTTTCCCGTCGCAGGGTCGTCGGAAGCGGGACCGCGTGCGAGCGCCTTCCGTTCGCCGGGCGGGCCCCCACCATTGATTCTCATAGCATGGGAGGGAGGGTGGGATTGGACTGGGGCCGCTGGCTCGTTTGACCTAGGTCACTTGACTCCATCCTCCCACTCCTCCTTCATCTTCCGTCTTGTCTTCTCCCCCTTCATGACTGACTCCCCAGGCCTTACTCCTGCACTCATCCTCGACAGCTCCCTGCTCTTTATCCAGCTGCCCAACCGTCCCTAGCCATTCGGGCTGAAGCCACTTTGAGTCCAGACTCTTTCTCTCATGGAGCCCTGGCCATAGCTGTCGTCCTGGAGATGGCGCAGAAAACGACGCCATTGCTTCACGATATAGTGAGTGAAAAGGTGAGGAACCATTTCGAGGCGAGCAGGTGCGTCGACGTCGACTCCGTGCAGCCGCGAAGACATACATCGGTTGGTTCGCGGCTTAGTTTGAATGGCAATGTGGACCACGGTACCAGGTTCCCTCCATGCGTATTCGTCCCCAGTTGGACCAAGGTGGTTGCTTTCCTTTGCGGCTGCACGGTCTTGGGATTGTGCTGCACTGTGTGGAAGCAGGCCCTTCAGCGCCACGGGCTGGCCACGGAGGTGTTGCTGAGGTATCTGTCGCTGCCAGTGGTGAGCGTGGCTTTCACGTACGTCCACATCTGGGCTGCGCTGTGGATGACGTTCTACCCACTGGAGTTCTGGGGCATCCCGGGAACGCAGATCCCAGAGAATCCGATCGGCTGTGGTTGGCAGGGCATTGTGCCCAGCAAGGGACGGAAAATGTCTGTCACTCTTATTCGCAACGTGCTGGACAAGTTGGTTTCGGTGGAGGAGATCTTTGCAGGAATCGACCCTGATTGCCTTATGAGCGAGATGAAGGAGCCTTTGGAGACAGCGCTGAAGCAGGCCATTGACACCCTTGGCGCTGAAGAGGCCCCAGCAGTCTGGGCAATGATGCCAGGAGTAGTCAAAGAAGAGCTCGCTCTTTTTGTGCTCGAGGAAGCTCCGAAGCTAATGTGCGATCTCCTCAGACAGTTGCAGAGCGACGTGACTCGTGTGTTCGACATCGAGGACATGGTGGTGAAGGGGATGCAGAAGGACAAGTCCCTCATCGTGCACATGTTCCTGAGCTGCGGCTACCAGGAGCTCGAGTTCATACGCGATACCGGCGCCTACATGGGCTTGTTCTTCGGCGTCGTCCAGATGGTGCAGCAGTACCTGTATCCTGTGGGCTGGGCGCTCCCCATTTTCTCTACCATCCAGCTGCATGCAGCTGATCCCGCCATCGTGCCAGCGCAGCACACATGCAGGAGGGTTCCACCGACTTCTCCTGGCAGGCTCGGTAGAAACGTCTTGGTGCTGTTTAGGAAGCAACGCTACGATGTTCTAGTATGGCGCGACCGCAGTACTGCGTGGCTGTTGCGCGGCCTAGGGGGGCCTCTCACTTGAGAGGTTCTTGGAGGCCTTTTGGTTGAGGGGTTCTTGAGGGCATCTTGAGGGCTTCTTTGGGGTTCTCTTTCAAGGCCTCTCATGGGTCTCGGAAGCCTGTTGCGGGTCTTGGGGCTGTGTTGGGCGCGATATTTCTACCGAGCTCTCCCGAAGTGGGTTCGGACGAACCATGCTAGGACCGAGTGGGCGAGGCTTGCGGAAGGTTTGGAGCTCTCTCATGGCGGTCTTGGGCCATCTTGGGGTGGGGGTGGGGGGCTCTCGGGCCGAGATCGTGCAGCCGCCTTGGGCTGCATTGGGGGCATCCAGCGGCTCTCTGGAGCCTTCCCGAGGCCGTCTCAGTCCGAAGAGGTTTTCGGCAAGGAAGTCGCGGATTACTGCCACGTGCCACTTCTGCATAATTCCAGACCCTCCCATGTCGGGCACTCTTTTTGAATAGAGAGCTCTGGCTCCCTCCCTTCCTGAAGTCTCTCCCTCCGCCGCCTCCCTTCCTCGATGCCCCCTCGCTGCCTCTTAGATTCCACTTCACCTCTCTTCCTCGCTTTCCCTCCCTTGCCCTCGCTGGGTACTGCCATTCGCCCCTCTGCTGTGCCCCCTGGGTCCAGCGAGGTCGGGTCCCGACAAGGAGGCCAGGCGCGCGCTTTTGGGTGCCGCCAGGCGCGCGCCCGGTGCCATATTGCTGCGCCCGTGAGAGGTCCAGCGGGGTTCGGTCTTGCGCGTCTCTGGACGCGATTTCCCCCCCCCCCCCCCCCTCCCTGACGAGGTTTCAGGCGCCCAACGGTCGCCCTCTCTGCCGAGACCGGAGAGGTCCAGCGGGGCCGGGATTTGCGCAGGGCCGAGCGCTACCTCTCCCTCACTGGGTGCTGCCGGGGCGCGCAACTGTCGCCACGTTGCTGTGCCCCTGTCCAGCGTGGTCGGGCCCCATGCGGGTCCCAAAGGTACCCTCGCCCCCCCTTGAGCTCAAAGGAGGAGCATGTACCCATACCGCTACCCTTGCCTTGTTTTCTCCTTTTTGGGCCTCATGGGAGGCCCTCGTCACCCCCGCTGGATTCGCATCGAAATCCTGATTAGAGCGCACCCCGTGGGAGGTTTGGGGTGTAACAGTATCGGCGCCTTTTGGTTCCACCCCCTGCGCTGCCGTGCGCGCAAACGTCGCTACTCTGCGACGCTCCTGAAAAAGGTCCAGCGGACTGCTTTCCGTCCTTCCTGGCATTGCTTCGAACAAACCCCAGGCCCCGTTGGTCGTGCAACGGCATGGCTTCCTGAATATCGTCTTACATAAGGGGTCGCATCTCCTTCCTGTAATTATTCGTGTTGCCACTTATATTGACACGTGCTGCAGATGGGTTTGGTTCGTCCCCGTGCTCGTTGCTTTCGTGTTTGGCCTCCTATTCTCGCTGGCGAGACCCCCTTCTGGCGCTTCTGGGGGGCTTGGTGAAGCCTGGTGGAGCAGCTTTGGGACATCTAGGAGCCTTTGGGTCGGCTTTTACAGCTGGTAAGATGACAGCCTGGCCAGATTTCGAGGCCATGTTAGAGGTCTCTTCGGTCGATGGTCTTGCGATGTTGGAAAAGTGCCGAACCCCTATTTTACCACACAGCTAACTGCCACGCTAACACGCCACAACGTGCCGGGGGCACGGTGACGGATCGTAGGTTTTCTCACCAACTGGCTCGCGCTCAAAATGATCTTCGAGCCCGTGGAGCCGCGGCCCCTGTTCGGGGGCCGGGTCGTGCTGCAGGGCGTGTTCCTGAGGCGCCAGCACGAGGTGGCGCCCCTGTACGCGAAGATATTCGCTGAGAAGGTGGCTTGCGCCCAGCTGCTCATCCCAGCCATGTTCCGCGGCCCGCGATCGGACAAGCTGATCGCCATGATCGTCGACCACGTCGATGCCGCAATCGAGAGGCGGGCCGGTGCCCTGAGGCCCCTGTCCGGCAGGCCGTCGTACAAGCGCGCCAAGGAGGTGATCGCCCAGAAGGTCATCGCCGCCCTCCCCGAGGCCTTCCTGGCCGCGGACGCGTACCTGGACCAGGCGATGCGCCTCGAGGCCACGCTCACGGAGAGGGTGCTGGGGATGTCGTTCAGGGACTTCGAGCAGCTGCTGCACCCCGTGTTCCAGGAGTAGGGGAATGAAGAATGACACAAACATATAAAGTCGGAGGTCTGCGCGGATGGCTCGGATCCGCGCTGGACCCCCCTCCCCTGGCGCGCGGAGCGCGTCAGGGGCGGCGCCGGAGGCGCCGCCAGGGGGCCCCAGCGCGGATCCGAGAAATCCGCGCGGACCTCCGAACTTTTATGTTTATGTCATTCTTCGTTCCTCTATCCAGGAGGACGAGTGGATCCTCATCCTGCTGGGGGGCGTGCTCGGCCTCGTCGTGGGCATGACCCAGTGGCATGCGCTCGGCCTCTCGTGATGGGGGCTTGGCGGCTCTGCCGGCGACGTCCTCCCCAATCCTCCACCTCCTCCTCCTCCTCCTCCTCCCTGCTCCTCCTCCTCCTCCTCCTCCTCCTCCTCCTCCTCCTCCTCTCCTCCTCCCTCCTCCTCCTCCTCCTCCTCCTCCTCCTCCTCCTCCTCCCCTACCTCGGCGCTCGGGCGCGGCGGATAATCGTCGGCGGTCGGGCCCTAAACAGCGTTCCACTGTGTTGGGTACCGAGCTGCTTCCCCTCTCTCCATTCTGCTTCCCGCCGCGCACCCAATGCTGCAAGCTTGAGGTCAGGCGCCGGGTGCCTGGGGGCGCGGGTGAGGAGGAGTCGGAGGAGGAGGAGGAGGAGGAGCAGGAGGAGGAGGAGGACAAGGACATGGAGAAGAAGGATCGGGCAAAGGAGAAAGAGGAGGCAGAGGATGAGGACGACACATGAGAATGAGGACGAAGAGGCAGGAGGAGGCAGACGAGGTGGACAGAGGAGGAGGCGGAGAAGAATAAGGAGGCGTTGGAGGAGGCAGCGGAGGAGTGGGAGGACTGTTAAGCATAAGGAGTATGAAGCGAGAGAGAGAGAGAGAGGGAGAGAGATAGAGAGAGAGAGAGAGACAGAGAAAGGTTGAGAGGGAGAGAGAGAGAGAGAGAGAAAGAGCACGAGAAGGAGGAGGAAGGGGAGGAAAAGGAGGAGGACAATACTGAGGAGAAACACAGGAAGATCAGGAAGAGGAGGATGAGGGCGAGGAGGAGGAAGAGGAGGAGATGAAGGATGAGGTGGAGAAGGATAACGAGGAGGAGGAGGAGGAGGAGGAGGTTGAGGAGGAGGAGGAGAAGGAGGAGGAGCTGGGGCCTGCACGAGCTGCTCCTCGCCGAGCGAGGCGCTGCCGTTCGGAGAACCTACAAGTAAAATCCGATGCACAGGCTATGGCCTAAGATATGGCACCATCACCTTCGGCATCCGAGGCCCAGGCTGAGGCCCAGACCCCAGGACTCGGCCAAGCGCCAGGGACCAGAGGAGCAGCAAGTGATGACACTGACAGGTTCCAAGATTCTTGAGATTTCCGGTATCTCTGCGCGGACTTCAGAAACGAGGGCCACCAGATTCCCCAGAATTCCTGGAGCGTGCGGCTGGGAACTTTTGGATGGCGTGTCTCGCCGCCGGTTTTGGCCCACCACGCCTCGGCGCGATGAGCTATCCACTTCGCGGTCTCCAGGCGTCCACGTGCCCAGTGGCTCCGAGCCTCCCGCCCCGCGGAGCCGAGCGACACGCCATCCGCTCGCGAGGCGTCGCGTTTCGCTGGGGCCACCGCCGCAACACGCTGTGCAACAGCTGAGCCTCCCACATCATAACTCAGGAGGGAAAGAAACACACAGACACAATGAATCGTCGCCTCCCAGGAAAATGTGCAAACATATGGGACGTGGGGGTGGCAAGACGAACGTCCAAAAAACATGTGGACAAATATGAGGAATCCTTGAATTTGCGTGCACTTATTTGTGTGTCCCAGGGCCCCTTCAATGACGCCATTCCCGTCCCCACGGAGCCCCCGCGGCCAGCGCTGGCCGGGCCACCGCCTTTCCAAGCCAGGAGGGCAGGTCGTCGGCGGGGCGCGGTCGGGGCAGGCGGGATGGGGCCCCCACGGGCCTGCCCGGGCCTGCCCCCACGGGCCTGCCCAGGCCTGCCTGTTTGGGAACCCCCAAACCGGGTGGTGAGATACCAGGTGGCGACCTGGAATCCCCCAAAAGGTCACCGCTGGGTTTGGGGACGCGGGGTCCCCACCGGGTTTTGTGACTCCTGGACCCACCAGAGTCCGGGACATCCTCGGAAAACCGCACGAGTCCCCGAACCGGGTGGTGACACCAAACCGCCCGAGACTCACCGCCAGGTGTTGTCACCACCACGTTTGGGGACTACCACGTTGAAACGACGCGAAGATCGGGGCAAAATCGTATCGGGACAACTCGACATCTCTGAGGATCGGCGGGTTTGGAGGACGTATTGGGCGCCGCGGCCGCTCCAGAGCGTTCCGGAACGCTCTGAGAGCGCTCTGGAACGCTCTGGAGCGACAGTAGCGTGCGGCTCTCGTATGCTACTGCTGGCTTGCGTGCTGCGGTGGTCTTGCTGCGACCTCGCTCTACGAGGGGGCACCATCCATCGCACCCCAGATCGTGGCCCGACGCTTGGAGTGCGACTTCCCATCTGGAGTGAACATGGCGGTGATGGCCTGTGGGGGATCGGATCACAGCCGATGGCATGGGCACCTCAGGTGAGGACGACCAGGAGGAGGAGGAGGCGGAGGAGCAGGAGGAGGAGGACGCGGAGAACGAGTCAGAGGAGGAGGACGAGGAGGAAGGGTGACAAGGGGGAGGAGGAGCAGCAGTGTAAACCCAAGACGCATCAACGATGTTGCAATCAGCCCTCCCTCCAAGTTCGCTCTTCGCAGGCTCCTACAAGAATGTCTGTCCATTGCGGGGCGTGCCCCATTGGAAGACAACCGTCTGAGAATCTTCAGTCGTGCCATAGCCTCGTTCCGGGGGCTGCAACGTCGCGGATCAACGTGACCGTTGCGTCCTGTATCGCACCAGAACGTAAGTCCAGTGGTTCGACACTGCGCACCTCCGACACTGCTGCGAACTGTAACAAAAAGAATGTGCGCGGCACGAGGGCAACCACCATTTAAAAAAAGGGCCGCCCTCCATCCTTGGCCGGTTACAAACTGTTGAGTCGAATGTGCCCAGAACTGGAGCGAGAGCACTATTTTGAATTTCACACGCCCTCCATCAGTGAAGCTGCTGCAAACCTTTACGACGAAGGTGCGCAGTGCGAAGGCGAGAGCACAATCTGGAGAAGGGGTCGCCTAACCATCCGCTCTCCACCAGTGAAGCTGCTGCAAGCTTTGAATACAAATGCGCGCGGCGTTAGGGCGAGTGCCGCATTTTGAAACAAGGACAGATCATCCGTGACACTGTTGCACATTTCGAGCTTCGGGATCGTAGATGCCGAGAAAGTCTCGGGCGAGACGCCTGGCCCGCCGGGCGGACACGACTGGGGCTGCGACAGTGAGGCACTATTCCCAGATAGTTCCTTGGAGAGTTAAGAGGGTTTCAGGCTAGAAGCTGGCAGCGCAGGGTAGCCCCGACGGCGGGACGCATCGCAGCGACTCCTGTGAACTGTCTCTTACCTTCTAAGGCTCCTGCGAACTTTTTGCCTCGAGCTTGCAAGCTCCCCAGACATCCTTTCAAGCCTCCCTGCAAGCGTCTCCCACAAGCGCTTCAGGCGCTCAATACTGCCCCGCTATCTGGGTGTTGGACGCTACAAATGCTTCTACGCGCACTGGCAAGCGTCTCCTACACGCTTTTCAGGCGCCTGACAAGCTTTTGCTACACGCCATTGGGGGCTGGGCTGCACTGCTACCGAGGTTTTGGCTTACGGGTTTCGGTTTACACAAGGTGATAAGGGAGGAGGAGGAGGAGCAGGAGGAGGAGGAGAAGGAGGAGGAGGAGGAAGGGTGAAGAGGAGGATGATGATGATGATGATGATGATGATGATGATGATGATGATGATGATGATGATGATGATGATGATGAGGAGGAGCAGGAAGCAGAAGCAGGAGCAGGAGAACGAGGAGGGGGAGGATGAGGAGGAATGGCGAGGATGAGGAGGCCAGGAGGTGGAGGAGGAGGAGGAGGCGGAGGAGGAGGAGGAGGGGAAGGCGGAGGAGGCGGCGGAGAGTAATCGGGCCGAGTGGCGTGAGCAAGCCGCGGGTCAGGCGGCGTCTGGAGGGGGCCCACGCGGAGCTGCAGCCGCTCATCGCCGGCGGCAGCCCGCCCCGCGGCGGCGTACCCGACACGGCGCTGGCGGCGCAGCAGCTGGACACCCAGAGGGGATTTCAGAGGAAGGGGAGGAGGAGGAGGAGGAGGAGGAGGAGGAGGAGGAGGAGGAGGAGGAGGAGGTACCGATGCTGCCACCAGCTGGCCTCGTGTTCACCTGTCTGGGCCTGCGGGGAGGCCCTCGTCGCCAGCGCTGGATTCGCCTCGACGTTCTGGTCGGAAGGCGCCCCGGGAGAGGTCCAGGAAGTAGCGGTATCGCTACCTCTGTGGTTTCACGAGGATTTTGCGGTTTTCCGCAGTTTTTGTTGCTCATGGAGGTTTTCTCGCCTCGGGATGTTTTTTCAGCGGCGGCGCTTCGCCGGAAGCGTTCCAGGGGGGTGCCCGGAGTGTCCCGAGCGGCCGCCAGAGGCCCGAGCTATGATTTGAAAACGAAACTTCCTGGCACCTCCTCCTCCTCCTCCTCCTCCTCCTCCTCCTCCTCCTCCCTCCTCCTCCTCCTCCTCCTCCTCCTCCTCCTCCTCAGCAATAACAACAACAGCAACAACAACTGCAACGACAGCAACAACAAAAACAGCAGATGTCTTGTTGTTTTCGGCCTCTGGGGGCCCTCGTCGGGCACCAGGACCGTCGAACAACGACCAGGATTGACAAGCCGGCCCAGGGAATGGGTCGAGACTTCTGATGACCCAGTCCTGAAATAATCAAGACATCGGATGGCTGGGTTTGGATCCCCAGATTGCAACCTGCTTTTAGGCGCCTCCCTACTTCAAGGATCGCGTTCCGGTTGCGCAGCCCGTTTTCCCTCTTTCGTCTCCAGTGGGCTGATAAAGGCCCAATATGCTTCCAACGCCTTCCTGCTACATGCTTCTACGTACTGTCGGGACTTGTGCTTAGCGTGTTGCTCCGCCGGTTCTGGCCCACCACGCTTCGCCGCGACACGCCAACCACGCCCTGGTCATCCAGCGGCAGCGTCCCGAGCTTTCCCGAGCCTCTCGCCCCGCAGAGCGGAGCGGCACATGATCCGCTCGCAGGGCATCGCGTGTCGCTGGGGCCGGCGCCGCATTTCTTCTGACCGATGGGTGTTCCAGGTCCTGTGCGCTCTGCTTCCCCGCAGGGCGCGCATGCCCCCGCAGCTGCGGCTATGCGGTACACAAGATCTAAATATAGACATGCATGCAAGACTACATTGGCGCTTCGCGCCATGCACCTTAGTCCTTCACGTCTCACATGGAGGCATAATGGTAGAGAAGCTTTCTTCCCAACCCTCCTGTGTTGGGTTCTCGTTTCGAATAGAGCACTGCGGTCGCACACCTCCTTCCTCCTCCCGCCTCCCTTGTCCTCTCATCCCTCCTACCTGCCTTCTACCCGCCTCCTATCTCGCCATCCCTGGGGCGCTGCGATCTGCGAAACTGTCGCCACTCTCGAGGGCTGCTGGGGGGTCCAGCGGGGTGACGTCCCACGCAAATTCAGATTAGACCTCGCCATCCATGGAGGGCCGCGATCTGCGGAGCCGTCGCAACTTTCGAGGGCTGCTGGGGGGGCCAGCGGAGTGACGTCCCACGCAGATTCAGATTAGACCTCGCCATCCCAGAGGGGGCTGCGATCTTCGAAACCGTCGCCACTTTCGAGGGCTGCTGGGGGGTCCAGCGGAGTGTCGTCCCACGCAGATTCAGATTAGACCTCGCCATCCCGGGGGGTGTGCGATCTTCGAAACCGTCGCTGCTTCCGAGGGCTGCTGGGGGGGCCAGCGGAGCGACGTCCCACGCACATTCACAACATGACCTCGCCATCCATGGAGGGCTGCGATCTTCGAAATCGTCGCCACTTTTGAGGGCTGCTGGGGGGGCCAGCGGGGTGACGTCCCACGCAGATTCAGATTAGACCTCGCCATCCCAGGGTGTGTGTGATCTGCGGAGCTGTCGCCACTTTCGAGGGCTGCTGGGGGTTCAGCTGAGCAACGTCCCACGCAAATTCAAATTAGACTTCGCCATCCCTGGGGGGCTGCGATCTTCGAAACCGTCGCCACTTTCGAGGGCTGCTGGGGGGCCCAGCGGAGCGTCGTCCCACGCAAATTCTGATTAGACCTCGCCATCCATGGAGGGCTGCGATCTTCGAAACCGTCGCCACTTTCGAGGGCTGCTGGGGGGCCCAGCGGAGTGACGTCCCACGCAGATTCAGATTAGACCTCGCCATCCCAGGGTGTGTGTGTGTGTGTGATCTGCGGAGCTGTCGCCACTTTCGAGGGCTGCTGGGGGTTCCAGCGGAGTGACGTCCTACCCACATTCAAAGCTGACCTTGCCTTCCTTGGGGTGTGTGCGATCTACGAAGCTGTCGTCACGTTCGAGGGCTGCTGGGGGCTCCAGCGGAGCGTCCCGCGCAGATTCAGAGCAGACCTCGCCATCCATGGAGGGCTGCGATCTGCGGAGCCGTCGCCACTTTCGAGGGCTGCTGGGGGGCCCAGCGGAGTGACGCCCCACGCAGATTCAGATTAGACCTCGCCATCCCAGGGTGTGTGTGTGTGTGTGTGTGTGTTTGTGTGTGTGTGTGATCTGCGGAGCCGTCGCCACTTTCGAGGGCTGCTGGGGGGCCCAGCGGAGTGAGGCCCCACGCAGATTCAGATTAGACCTCGCCATCCTTCGGGGGTCTGCGACCCCGGCCGGGGTGTCCTGTCCCGCGGGCCGCCCGCAGACCTGGCGGCGCGCTTTCGAGCATTTAGCTCCCGCGCTGAAAACAAGGAAGCATAGGCGAGGGGCTAGGCCTGGCTCGCTGCGTGCATTGGCTGCAAGCAGGTTGGGTCCTTCTCGATCGCCGCGGCGACACGGCACAGGCGCCGCTGCATCCTCAGCGACCGACCGACAAACAGCAGCGCTCTTCGGTCTCCTTCTGTCACTTTCGTCGTCGTCCTCTGGCCCCTGCCACCCTTCCTGTGCTGCTTCCGCGCGGACGCTTCGGCCCCTCGCGCGTCCCTCTTCTGCCCGTCGCCTCCCACCTCGTGTTCCCTTCAAGCCTGGGCCCTCGCTCTTCGTCCTTCTGCTGTTGTCCTGTGAATCGTGCCACGTGAACTTATCCCACGCAGCTTGCAGAGCTCATGTCGGCGCCGCCACTCTCATCGTCCTGG